CCGGCCGGCGAAGCCGCGCCGGACCCAGGGATGGCGGCGGCGAGGCCGTTCTCCCCCCATCCCGCTTCACCCCACGCCCTTTCCCTCCACAGCTCCTCCAGATCTGTCCCCTGGCGGCTCCAGCGGCTTCCACCGGCGCCGTGAGCGGCCTCCCCCGGCGGTGTCTTCCCCGCCCGCTGCTGGTGTGGTGGGTCTCCCTCCGGATGCGGCTCCTCCTGCTGCACTGGTCCCGTCTGCCCCATTTGGATCTGGGCCCCAGCCGGTTGTGGTGCTCCCCAGCCCGCTTGCCGTGGCGGCCGGGCACGCCCTCCTTGCTGCGTCCACCCCTCCCCCGACCCCCGCCACTCGTCCCTCTGCCGTCGCGGGTTTCCTGGTGGTCGCGCTTCAGCACCAGATCTGCGGGTTCAGGTGGCCTTGTCGGCCGGCTCCCCGTGCTCTCTCGTTGCGGCCTCGCGCTGGCCGCGGTGCACCTCAGCCTCTCCTTGTTGGGTGCGGCGCCCCGGCGTGTTGCTGCTTCTTTGGCCCCCCGTAGCTCGCTTCGCAGCTCATGGCTGCCTAGATTGTTGGGCTACGGCGGTGGTTGGCCGACTTGCTCCGGTTGCGAGGTGGAGGAGGCACTGCCGGGTGGAAACTTCATCGACGATGACGGCTGCAGCCGCCATTTTTCCTTCTTGAAGGCGTCGAGTTTGGCATTGTTTCCCTCCCCCCAAGCACTCAGATCCCGAGAGAAATCTCGGACCCGGGGTTCCCCGTGTCGGATGGTGTCGACGTCTCTACGCCGTTTCCTCCTTGGGGGCATCTTCTTGGATTCCTTCTGCTTCGGGTGGACTCGCCTCTTGCTGCTTCCTCTCCACCTCGGCTTCGATCCCTGGCTGGCCATTGTCCTTGGCGACTCGAGTGGAGCTTGCTTGGACATCCTGGGGTGGCCTCGATGACGCGCTGCCCTTCGACCTCGGCGGCAGTACACCGGTACTGCGCCCTTCGGTCTCGGTGGCGTGTTGCCTTCTCGGCTTCGCTGGCGGCACACCGGTGCCGCCACTCGAACTCGGCTATTCGACGCTCTTCGTTCGTGCCAGTGATGCTTCTCGATATGCTTCTACTTCGGTGTCTCCTTTCTATCAGGGATGTGCTTCATGGTGGCCCGGACGACGTTTGCGTGGACATCCTGGGGTGGCCTCGGCGGCACGCTGCTCTTCGACCTCGGCGGCGGTACACCGGTGCCGTGCCCTTCGGTCTCGGTGGTTTGTTGTCTCTTGGCTTCGCCGGCGCACACCGGTGTCACCGCACGAACTCGGCTATCCGACGCCCTTCGTTCGTGCCAGTGATGTTCCATTGCGAGTTGCTGTTATGGTGCCTGTCTTTTTCTCCCTAGGCCTTGTTGTGGTTCATTGTCAGTGGTGGAACAAGCTGCTCAGCGGAGCTTGCTACCTGAGATGTCGGCCTCCAGGGGTTTCGGTTTGGTTCTGTTGCCAGCCTTCCCCTCCATTTTGTTTTCTTTCTTCTAGTTTTGGGCTTCCTCTTGAAGCCCTCCCCTGTTATTTTCTTTTGTGCCTTTGTGCACTTACTTGTATCTGTACTGACTGCCAAGTCACTTTCGAGTGGGAATATAACAAGCGGTGGGGTTTTTGGCCCCCCCGTCAATCTCGAAAAAAAAAGATTGAGATGAGTACATCGAGTAGGGCATTTTGAGATGATAATTCGTGCATTTTTAATAGTGAACAGTCCTTATATTGTTCACCATTTTTAGAATCATGATTTTGTCTTTTTTGTGTAGCTCTCACCATAATATATACCATCTTCAAATTTGACACACATGTAACATACATCCGTATGAACGTGTCTGATTTTTTTTAGATTTTTTCAGAACTTCAAAATGTGATTTTTGAATTTCTTTTTAGAAGAGCTCCATGGAGCTCATCCTCCATTTAGCATTTTCAGAGTTCAGCTCATTATTATTTTTCAAGGCCAGCAACTAAAAAAAGTAGAATGCGGGCTGAAATATGCTTGTTTATATAGACATCTTTTTCTGTGTGAAAGTTATACATCTAACTTCATGCCCTTTTGTGATAAAAAGAAAACTTCGTGCCCTAGCTCATTGCATGCTAGCTTATGAACATTATAAATTACAATATTCACATGATGCAAACTGAATTTCCAGTTCGCTCATTTCCCCGCCCAGAAAATCCATGACAGGACGTGTCCCTTTCGTTTCCTTCCCTAATCCTAGGCGGCTAGGGCAAACTTCTTCCTCCAGACTTCACCGACGAGCCTGTGGATACGCCTCCCCTCTCCCTGCCACTCCGGTGGCAGTATCGGGGAGGAGAATCTCGATGCCTCCTCACCCCTCCCGTTAGTAGTTTAGGTTAGGGTTTTTAGTCCTCACAAGTGTGATGCTCGGGCGGATGGCGGCTCTTCTACTTCGAGTTTGTCTTCGGGGCTTCGATACTCCTCGAATTCATCCATTTGGATGTACTCGACGGAGCTCCAATGTAGATTATTGTCGTCTTCTTGGGGTGGTGAGGTTAGAGTTTCTCGTCATGTATCGAAATTTGGTGTCAGATGCTTCAGATCTATGCAAGGGTTCAACAACGACGACTGTGGTTCCAGTGCACTGGTGGGCATGTGCACGAAGACTTTCCAATTGTCATCAACAAGGTCAAGCGGCTCCGGTGGGAGCGGTGACGGCGGCGCGTCGACGGCTCGTTCTGAGAGTAGTGGTGTAAGAATCTCGTTGTACTTTTTTATGTTTAAGATGTACTCCCTCCATTCCTAAATATAAGTCTTTTTAGAAGATTAATATGGACTACATACCAAGCGAAATGAGTAAATCTCACTCTAAAATCCGTCTATATACATCCGTATCTAGTTCACACTGAAATCTTTGAAAAAACTTATATTTAGAAACGGAGAGAGTACTTCCGATGAACTTTTATAACATATCTCATCGTTTTCGCAAAAAAATGTCCATGACAGAGTAAGAATGTACCTTGTACTTCATCCGTAAACAAATATAAGAAGTAGTGATCTAAACACTCTTATATTGCTTTACAAGGGAGTACTTTGTTTTGGAAGGTTCTTTGAATTGGACCCGGAGCATGTGGCTTTACTAGGAATCAAGAATCCAAGAGAAAAAAAGATTCAGTGCATCCACTCGACATGACTAAACTGTGGCCATGTGGGAGTGCCATCCAATCAGAGACCAACTAGCTTAGGTTGTTTGCTTGGCAATGTACAACGAACAGATATGTTCCGAGAGAGCCATACCTACGATAATGGTGTCGACGAATGGGCAATATGGCTGTTAAAGAAGAGGGGCAATATGGTCCACCATTACAGAAGCTTCCGAAGGAGAGCGGATTAGCGAGT